AATATTAATTTTTTATTTATAATAATTAATTCTAACAATAAAATACAATGTTTTGAACCAATACTTAAATTTAAGATACAATAAATTCCAGATAGGTTTTATTCAGTCATAAAACTAGGATGGGACTGTGAGGAAGATTAGAAAAAGACAGGAAAAACGTTGGCTTATCAATTAACCTTTGTAAAGAAAGTTTTTTATATAATAATAAAAACTGACTTACTCTTAAACTGTAAAATAAGCAAGTGAAATAACAGAAATAATATAAAATGTCTAACATAAATGTCTGGTCACAGACTAAAATTTTATCAATTAACCTTTGTAAAGAAAGTTTTTTATATAATAATAAAAACTAACTTACTGTTAAATTGTAAAATAAGCAAGTGAAATAACAGAAATATTATAAAATACCTCACATAAATGTTTGGTCACAGACTAAAATTTTTAAATCACATTTCCTCTGCTTCACAGCCTTCATTTGTATCCCTGGAAAGGCAGTCACTCTATCATTCAGGTAGCTGGCACAGCTGGAAAAGCCTCGTGTGTAATAACCGTTTCTAATAGTTTTTGTCAACTTCCAGGCCACTTCTCTTCTTTTGAGACCCGTTCACTGAGCCAAAGCCGGCAGAAGATGGAGGGTCAATGAAGTCATAGCTGTTTACATCCTGCAAGTGTCCCATTTCGACAGCCAGCTCTAAGACTCCAGGGATGGAAAACAGCTTCTCAAGTAGGTCATCAGGGAGGAGGAGCTCCGGATGTTTGGGTTTCTTGCACAAAGGGGGTTCTGAATCAGCTGTTGCACTTGCTTTGCGCTTCTTCTCCAGCTCTTCCTGGATGTGGACGTCAACCAGGGCAAGTGCTTCCTTGATCGTGATGTGCTCAGACTTCCTTTTCAGATGCTTGCGGTCGAGGGCCTGGTTAAACTTTTTCGCATCATCGGTTAAGGCCAGAAGTGTTGCGTTCTTCTGGGGAGCTGCAAACCCCTCACCACCGCCGGCCTCCTCCCTCCCCTTCTCCGTGGACATTAAAGACTTGATGTCTTGAGCCTCGCTCTTCGGTGGAGCTCCAGATTTGGAGCTTTTCACTTGCTCCTTGCTCTCATTCCTCACAGAAGGGATGACAGGGGAATGAAAACTGGCCACTTCAGGCATAATTCCATTGGATGGAATGGGCTCGGTCAAGGCTTTTCCAGCACTCGTAGTGGAACCTTCTGTAAGTTTAACAAAAGAAGCATGTGATTGTTGTGGGTTTGACGAGAGGCTGTGATCTTTCAAGCCTTTGTTAATTTTATCTATAGGAGCACCCTGACCTTCTCCCTCCTTCAGAATGACTTTAGGTTTCTTCGCTGGCAGATGCTCACCTAACAGAGGCTGTGCCTTCTGCTTGATATGTGGTGTAGACAGAGCCGACGCTGGTAGATTTACTGTTCCCACATATGTTAAAGTGATAGGCTCCTGCAGAGTGTTTGCCGAGGACTGATATGCTATATTCCTCCCATAGATGTCTTGGAGTATTTGTTGGTTTCCTGGAATTTTGTTTGCTCTTGGGTAACTGCTGGGTAGGCCATGTTGGTGATGATTGGGAAAAGAGAGGATGGGTGCTGGAGCTTGTTGCACAGTGTTAGCCTGGTAATAAACAGTTGGCTGTGCATAATGCTGAGGTAACTGGCATGCTGACATTGGTTTGTAGGGCCAGGCATTTGTTTGTTGGGCAGCTGGTTGCTGTGCGAAATACATCCATGGTTGAGTACCATAGTAGCCATAGTAATAGCCATTGGCATTAATGCCAGGCTGATTTATAGGCATATTCAGGACCTGTCCATAAGGGTCACATTGTAGACCTGTAAACATAAAACCACAATAAACAAATAGCACAAACCTTTTTACAGTTAAATTATCTAACAAGCATATAAACACCTGAATAGTACAACATATACTGTATCTTACAATGTACAGTATTGGCCCTATTTGCTATAAAGAGATTTTCAAAAGCTTACAAAACAGAAACATCGTTGTACAACATTTAATAATGAATGTTTTATTAAGCTTGTAAATTTGGGGCCATTAGCCAAAACAACAGAGCTAATGAATAATTGGTGTAACTTACACTTGCTTAATGACATCATTTCATTCTATATGCATCACGGCAAAGATGCAGAAGTAGCAATTTTTGAATTTACTGTTGTCATGGAGATGAAAATTTGATAAAATACAAATAAAAACAATTAAAATTATATGGCTTTTTTCCATTATATTAAAAAATAAATCATTATAAGTTTTAGCTCTTGTAATAAGTTGTAATACACAAAAATAAAAAATACAATACATATCTAAAGGTACTTGTCTATTGTATGTTTCACAGTTCACCATAATATCTCTAGTAATTTCATTATTTTATTTTTTATGTAGTTATTTTCATATGTAAATATCATCATAGAATGACAATACATTACTGCTGAAATTATCATTACTGTAAAAATAACATTTTGAGTAATACAGTACTTAACACTTAAGTACATATGCAAGTTCTTACCAAGTTGGGTGAGACCAGAATTTCCTGAAGGTGCCACGTAGGGCTGAAACTGAAACCGAGTTCCTTGTGCCGTCATAGGCACAGGTTGATAAAATCTTTGTGAATGGCTTCTCATTGGGAAGCTCATGGCGCTCATTTAATGGAGGAAAAAAATGAACGTCTTGCCTTGAGCTGAGAAACACAAGAACTGACCCTTGCTGTAGTTATCATTAGAATTTATGGACCAAATGTTTGATGTAAACATTCCAAGCCTGTTGCTAGAATGTATTATGATGTCACCAGTTACATCAAATTAATATTTGATGCCTTCTGTTATAGATATTTATAGTGTTCATATATTTTATTAACTTTGGTAATATATGCAAATTTATGTCTACACTTCTAATGGCAAAACAAATTTCACTATTTAAATGGTTATTTACTGTCATTTTTTTAATGCTAGTCAAAGACCCAACTATCCACACACAGCATACTGTCTTTGTACTGCTTTTAATTTATTATGTGTATTATTTATTTTAGTAAATGTTAGATGCCGTGGCCACCATCATAAAAAACTTTAATTACAACATAAAAATAAGATTGTTGGAGTTAACACTGTATTGTGTTTCCTAAATTGTTTTCTGATTCTATTTGAATGGTGATGTTTACCTCTAAGTGAGCTGTTGCTGGAAGAAAATTCCAGCAGCAGCTCCAGTTCCAGCTGATCTACAGTAGGTAGATCCAAGAGCACCAAGCTGCCTTTAACCAAAATAGGGTGCTGAAATGTAATTTGAAGACAAAAACTACCAAGAGATTTGTTCTTGAATAACTTGACTTTTGAGAAATAAAAGTTCACAAAGCAATTTTTCACACATAAATCAATAGGTTTACATTTCTTGTCTTTTAAAATATATTTACATAACAAAATCTACCGTGCAACAGTTAACTGAGCTTAACGTAATTCATGTAATGGTTTACGACCACAGTGGATATCTCTGATCCCCTGAGAATGCTGCAAAAGCAGAAAGGAATTTCAAGTTTATATCACAGGTCTTTTTCTCCAGTGTCTCTCATTAAGAGCTGCATTGCAACTGTGACCCCACTGAGCCTATGTTAGTGCTACATTAATTACGTTGCACTCAATTATCTATACCAGGATTGAGCTCATCACGGGAATGCTCTTCAAAAAGCATAACTCTATGCAAACAGAATTATCTCCAGCAGTTGGAGAAAATAAAGCCAGGATTATTCAAAACTTCAGCCCAACCTCCAATTACATACTGCAAACCCAATTCCTGATGGCAGGATTCTGTCAAACAAAAGGTCATTAATTGCTTTGTAGGTTTAGAATATTCATAATGGGTAAGTCACAGTTTTGATTTTAAGCTGGGCACAAGCAGTGTCATTGAAATGGTCAGTGCAAAAGTAGGATAGTCAAAAATGTTATGCTTGGAAAACCAAATCACCTTAAGTAAACACAGATCATGTTATCTGTATGGTTGATAGTCTTCCATCAATTACATATTTCATATGACTTAAGAAACATGTAAAAAATAAAGTACAAAAGTACGCAGATGTTTTGTAGAGTTCTTGTTTTTGTCATTTGTTTACATTTCTTTCAACTTGCTTCCATAAGCTGAAGTATTCCATTTGACTTTTCACAGTAGCACTCATTTTTCGCTTTGCATGTCCTTCAAGCTGCTAAGCCTGCATTTCAATTTGTCCTAATTCAGAATTTAATTGTGCTGGGCTACCAGCTAATTAAATGTTCAGAGAAGTGATAAATTAGTTGGGTCGATCATAACAACTTGAGTAATTAGTCAGATGTGTTTAATCCAGGTCTTACACCCAGTGCATATAAATTTAACAGCAACATGAGGAGTTCATTAAAGCCTCACTCAGTCCTACCGTCAGACTTCAGACACACTTCCAAAATTCCTGATAAGAATAGATCCATCATCTCCCACTTTTTCATAAAACAATTCTGTCTAGGACCTCTAAGCTGAGAGCTATTAACTTTACATTCTTTGTGAGAATAAAAATAACAGGCATTTTGGTAACCAAATTCAAATATTACATGCAAAAGCAGTTCTCATTATACCCTTCCTAAGAGCTCCACAACAGGGCTTTATGTATTGTATGTGAGATGTCATTGTGAAAAAATGGTATTATCAATAGTACTGGCTGCAGGATTCTCCCCTTATTATTAGTAAGCAATGTAAATGCTTTTGCAGAGAATATATTGGCTACCATCAACCCCATCGTCACCACATAAGGAATTTGGTGTAGTACATAACATTATTAGAAGAAATTATGCAAACAAAACATTTTTAGGTGCACAAACTCATTTGAAGTCCAAAGCTAATATTTATTAACATATTCCAGGGGAAAACAAACATTATTCTAATAACAGGCAATTCTACTGTTTCTTAAACAGGTTCAAGCTATATAGGCGAAGCACTATCTTCTGTTAAATGTACTTTACGTTAAAGAGTAAACAGCAAACATATTGTACAGCCACAAATATTTCTTTGACTAGAATTGTCAGTTTGCTCCAAGAATGTTTTATTAGAACATAACTCAAGTTAGTGCCATTACTTTACAGAGAGTGGTCATATATCTTTATATCAGCTTTAGCCTGCATCAGCGAGTGAGTATAATGATGACGGGTGGCATGAATCTTTTGTAGTCTGATGAAATAATGGCCTTTTGCCACCTTCTGTCACTAACTCAAATCTGACTAAATTTTAACAGCATTCTTTTACAGAAAGACAGGCATAAAAAAAATCACTGAACTATCTGTACAAAAACGGTTGATGTAGAGACATAACTTAATAATTTAATTAAGGATCCTGTACAGTAAATCATCCACCGGACTTAAACAGTAACAGGTAGGCTTTAGATTTATTTGAAGGAATACAGCAAAAACAAACAATTTTGGACAATTAGAAACCAATACAGCAATTGAGTCAGGCTCACAGTATCTGCATTATTTTTCCATCATGTTAAAATAAGGCTCAGTAGATGGCATTTTCTTCCACATGACTGCTTACAATTCTCCACTGTTACTCACCCCACATAGGATGTACTCTGTTTTGAGAGCACCATCCATCTCCTGGGTCATCTCTTCATCCGTGTGCTCCTAACAGCCTGAATCTAAATGCAAATTTGGTTCCTCAGCTGTTAGGGAGTCCGTGTCAGTTGCTGAATTTCCATCAGGTAACTGCCTTGATGAAGCCTTCACATCCACAGGCTCAACTCCTTTCGGGGTTGACGGTGCTTGTCCATTTTCTTCGCACAGTGACCTATGACCCAAGCTCCCTGCTTCCACCCTGGACGTCTCGTCTGGACTTTCGTTATCTGTCCCATCCAAGAATGTCTTGGGGTCAGCTGAAGAATGCTGCGTGTAGTTTTCGGAGGTTTTTGGTTTATGAGAAGCCAACTCTTCAGAAACATATTCTTCAAAGGTTTCTAAGTGTTCTTCTTGTGACAGTGAATGGATACCACCTATGCAGCAAATTCATCATATATTAAAAGGCAAGTTGTTGTAATTTACATGTCAGCTACAGAACATACAATATGTGCATTTTCTCAATGCTTGCTGTCTAGACATTGTGAAACAAATGAAAGATTGAATTCACAAACAGTGCTATTCTTCACCTAATAACTGCTTAACCAGTCCTTCTGCGTTGTACAGCTAGAACCAAACAATCACTGGGAATTAGTATGCATGAGCTATAGCCTTTTTGTGGTAGGTATTATAATTTAGCCCAACAAAGGCTCTTCATCCACAGAGAAAAGCTTGCTGAGTTTTAATTGAGTTAATCACTTTATTAATGTTCAGAGACAAAAGAAGAATAAGCTCTTATCTGTTAACAGCAAAATAATATATGCTCTGCCAAACACATAATAACTGGTTTTTGTTCAAAGAAAAAAAATTGTTAAGATAGAGGTCTGTAGGGGAATCTGTTCTTCAAATACAATCACTATCAAAGTTGATCTAACACACACAAAAAAAAATGTTCCTTAAAGACTGCTAAATCTTTCATTTAACGCGACACTTCAGATTTTGAGAGATACACAATTCAGGGCAACAAAAAAATGTCCCCAGATACATAAAGCATTGTTTTTTCATCAAGACAAAGACGCACTTTGCAAAAAGTAATTTAGGAAATCATTAAAAGTTCATTAAAGAAGGACTCTTGCTTTTAACCTAAACATAACTTACAGTATATTCCAACTTTATTTTATAAGCCTCCATTCTCTTTCTATCAGCTGTAAGATTTAAGAATCATTTAGTATCCTTACCATAACCATAAACAATTTCAATTATGGGCTTTCATAGACTTGATCAAACTTATAGAGTCATTGTCTATAGACTCTTAAACCTAGATATTACATTTTTTTCTGTTTTGCAAATGTTTATGTGCTGGTATGTTTTTCAAGAGTTTATATCCCTCCACAAATGTTGTCAAAACGTCACTACTACTATGAGTTAAAAATCATCATACAGAATGAGTTACAGTAGGTTGTTTTCTTTTTTTTAAGGTCGTGATTTTTTTTAACATGGTTTGTATTGTATATGTTTCTATGGGGCTACTAGATCATATTCAATAAAAATTCTGTTCAGGATGAAGCACTTCCTTTTTACTTCAGTCTTTCTGTTCATTAGTCTGCAGTCTAATGTTTGTGCTGCTGCAGTCCCTCATGGTTATCAAATTATCCTGTGTTCTCAGATTTTAAAAAAGTAATTTATAAATGAGAAGTGTTTTGGGTGGAACTGTGTACAATAGGAGGTGACTTAAGTGACGTTTTGATGGATAGCCTGTCCTTGTTATAAAAAATGATTACAGGGAAAAAAACAACCCTTTCTTCAGAATGCCACTATTTATTGCCTCCTGGCATATCCTGGTATGGCTGTATGCAGAATACTGATAGATCCTGCGATGACAGGCCAGCTTTGCTCCCAAACTACTAATCCTCAATGCTTCTCATTAAAACAGCAGAAGTACTAACACACACTTCACAGAACCTGTCACAGTATCAGCAAAGTCACTGTGCACGGCCCTGGTTTTTCTAGGTCTAGGCCTGTTCGTCAAACTACAAACGTTTGTGGGTGAATGTAAATCACCTCTGTTAAAAGTCCCAAGAAACTTACCAATTTCTGCCAGCTGACTGGATATCCTGCTTGGATTTGAAGTTTTATAAATCCGGGCAGGGATGTTCCTCAATGAACTGAAATAAAATTATTTTATAATACAATTATATAAAATATATATATATAAAAGATGTCCGAGTTATACTGTAAATGCACACAAACAGTAGGTACTAAAACATGATCTAAAAATAGTTAATTGTTGCAAACTGGGGAAAAAAAACACAAGTAAATTCGTAATTCACATAATTTGTAAATATATAGCTAGTTGGATGAACAGAAATAATAAGAAATGTCAAAGTTAAGGAGAGGCATTGCCATACTTCACTTTACAAAAAGTGTATCTGTAGGCAAGTGTTTCGCATTATTGAACCATGACTGGCTGCACATCAGAGAAAAACAAGAGGCTAAGCATGTACGTGTGTGGACCATAGTTTTTTATAATTTTTTCAGTCTTCTTGTTTACAAGAATTGTAGTCTATTTTCAAGTAATGAGGAAAGTCCGACTTTATTCTTTTTTCCCCAGACATATTAGACTTGAAGGCAATAGACTTACGGCAGAGGTGAAAGAGATGAAAGTCTTTTCTGGCTTCTTCTGGCAGCCCATTGGAGCCGAGCCGAGGGTGAGACGTATGGAGAAGTCTTACAATCCAGAATGACTGCCGCTTTTTTTAGACGCCAGTACTGAGCAGGCTTGGTGCTTCGAAGAGGCAGCTTCAGAAGGCAACTCTGAAAATCAGTCAAAGGGAAAACACAGACACTGTTTCAAGTGTATAATCAAATTAGAAATAAAATGCATATCTGATCTCATGATTTCATATGGATATAGTCCTTTTAGTCCTGTGTTCTGAGCATCCCATGCACAGACGTCTACAGGGCTGAAGGATATATGGAGGCTACTACCATTATTTTCTCCAGGAACTCCTCATTGACCTCTTACAAGGAAAAAACTCTCTTTTTTTGACAAACAAAACAGTGCTTTCATCAGCCTGTTACATGCCTCGTTTCACTGGGGTTAAAAAAAGATGTTGTGTTCAGTGGAGCCTCAAGACAAAGAAACTGAAAAATGGAGGCTAAATTCTTTGTGGACTTTTATAATCAAGCTTTCAATGTAAAGAAAAATACTTCTTCAGCTTAGACAAGCAAAAAGTCTGTAACACTGCCAAAGCGAGAGAACAATGACAAATTGAAAAAAGGAGTTTGTGTATTTGTAATACAATTCAAAATGCCCTTTAAAATCACTGTTTATTTTTCAGCCATCAGATTTAATAATAAATCTGTTTGGAGGCTTGACCTTTAAAGTGCTCTTTAAATTTGTCTGACTGCCACTGTTTCATACATCCCTCTTGCTACAGTTCTATTCTCTACAATAAATTAAAACACATGGCACTGATTGAAAGGACAACCAGCAAGAAACACCACCGCCTTGAATTGCCCCAGTGGTTATTTATTTACACAAAGTTTATCTCCCCTCCATTAATCCAAAGTGTAAAAAAAAAAAAACTACAGGGGAGATTTTCATAACGCAGCATTTTTACAAGCAACATAGGAGTCTTCAGACAATGAATATTCACAGGTTGATAACACTTTGAAAATAAGTTAATGAGGATAAAATGAATAGGAATAAATACAGTACTTGTATTTTCACAGGTTATTTACCTTTGTCACACACAATATAACAGGAATTAGGTTCTGGGGTACATAATAGGTAAATTCCCCTGATCATGTTGAATAGATTTTTCTCTCTGGCACTCAGCTCAGTTGGACCATTGAAAACAATAAACTCAGCATTACTAGACTGAGTGTTTTCTGTATTAACATTGTATATGCATTCAGGTGAATGATTATACCTACAAATACATGTCAAATCTGCAAACACCTGCAAATACATGATCCATTTTTATTGTTGTTTTCAATAATTTGCTGAACTGATATCTTAACCAGGGTGACATACAATGTAGCTTGTGTTAAATCCAATTTTAATTTAATTGCAAACTACTGGGGATGCTGCAGTGTATGCAATCCACATTTCAGATAACATTGGTATATTAAAATGTATTAGTATTACAACTAAAATAAGGGAAACAAATCTCCTTCAAAACAACAATAGAATAAGCAAGTGTTTTCACACTTCAACTGCATGTACAGAATTTTCCCGGCATTACCTCAACACTTATCTGTTAATAAATTAAAGTATTTAGTCACTGAAAATGATTGAACACATGGCAGGAGTCAGGGAATTGTTCACATGTTTTTTTCCAAATGCTATGCAAATACTGTATGAAGCATAGCGTGCCATTTGCACATTTAGAGAGTGGAATCTTGTCCTGTTTATAGACGTACTCGCATGTTCGAGAGGCTTTTTGAGTGCAGTGTGTGTGCAGCCAATGTGTGAGAATCCAGAAACGGCATAAAACTAGCTTCTGATATATTGACGCTACTCCTTATAAGGTCAAAGACTGATAAGACAGCTTAACCCTTTTTATCAAGGAGACCGTAACCTCATGGATGGTGGAATGGGTGGCAGATCTCTGCCATCATATCACCTGTGACCCCCTGCAATGACACAGAATCACAAGAAGGTGCAAGACCTGAATATGTAGGGCAACACCATGCCCCCTTTCTGAAGCAGAGCCAAAAATTTCCTGCAGCTTTGCTAAAGTCAACAGCAGCTTCCTTGCCTGGGTGCAATCAAGATTTTCAGTCATCTGGTTAAGCTAAAACATGCCCGGTGCTGCACGTCCTCTGTCTGGTTGGTCACTCTCACCGTCGTGATGAGTTAAATTATTACAGATGCTATTGCAGAAAGGCTGTTATTTTATACACCAAAATAATTACTGCTAGAAAATCTCCCTCTATACTCTTCATTTGTTAATTAGATAACTTTACAGTACTGACCAAGGTCCTATTAAAACATAAGTGCACATCTGAGAGTAGCAATAAAAAAATCCAAACAAGTCCGCTCTGATAAAAACATTTCCACACAGGTTAAATACAGAGTAGCTTTGGGCAGATGCGCTGGCTGCCTACAGGCTGTTGTCGACTTCCTAAGCTCCATCCCTTCAGAGCAGGGTATAATGTTCCCCGGGGGGTTAAAAGTAACTTTCAAATCAGAGAGACAGTAAAGTCTGTCTAGGCAAAGCCTTAGATCTCCTCCCCAAGAGCCTTACATTGCCCTGGTGTTTGAAGTCTCATGCATTTCCTCAGGCATCATTCTCACCATCACCAAAAACACACAGGTAGCGCACACAAAGCACAAAGCATTGCCTCTGGCTGACATTCCGAATGAGGTGCGAGATAAGCGATATTGACATACCGTAGTTAGAATTACGTGAATACAATTATTTTAATTTTATGTGCCCAAAGGTTACAATAATTAGTTCTGTTCACCCTACCTGTGAAATATGTTAAGACACACTGCTGAGTCTGTTGAATTGCTTTATTGTTTCAGTTTACCCTGTACGCAGTGCATTACGTATCCATAATCATGATATTACAAGGTTCAGCTTTAGTAAAATACAGCTTCTTTTTCTTAATAAAATGTCTTTGTGGAAAAAAATATTCTGTGAATTCTAAGCTTGTGTGCACCTTACATTTTTCCTTGTTATAACTTTCTTTGAAAACCAGTTCTATCTAATTGTTATTTTATTCATTCTGGGATATTTTCCCCCACAACCTTTCTACCTAGTGGTCTCACTAAAATTCCGTCCAGCTGTAGATCTTGTTAATGGTTTCCGTAGAAGAACCCCAGGGATTCAAAAATCCAAATCCCATGAACAATAATGAAATGTACGAAGGATGTAACATCACTTGTGACAACCCCAGAGTCTATCACTGTTCTAGGTATTAAAGTTAAATCAATTTAACCTGGACAAAAGCCAGTAGCTGTGGCATTCACTATGGGCTAATCCACCTTTCATTATTCAGTGTCACTCTGCTACAAGGAATAAAAGACTTTGCAATCAGATTATACCTGGTACAGGTTCCAGATAACAGCATTATTTGGGTAGGGGATTCTTTTTCACAAACCTTTTTTTTTCTGGGATACATGACACCATACAACAAGGTTTTTATTTAAAGAAAGCATGCACAGAGGTAAATTGTGACCGATATCCACAGTATAATCATAGAATCTTGACTCTCCTCTTCACGTGACATAAGTTAAGAGGGAAAGTTAATGGTAATTCTTGTCATACCATTTCTAATGCCCATGCATCAGACACAGAGCTTTTGTCATGCTACTACAATTTGACAAAATTAAAGATTTCCTCAGAAGGTTTGTTCTATTAAATTACGCAGAACACAAAATTATTTTTTAACAATAGCAGTTGGGGTTCCTAGCCAGAAATCCTCTACTGCTGATTCATTTCAGTTCACCATAAGGGAGGATAACGAGATAACGTTGAAATACTGTAAATGCTGCTATAACAGATTATAAATGCGCAAAATGCCTGAAAGGATCATTTGTATAACAACTTTAAAATGTTTTAATGAAGAATGGCAAGTTAATCATGGCAAAAGCATTCAAAAGAATGAATAGGTCAAGATCTTGTTTAAACCTTAAGAAACAAAATAACATTTGGACGTTTCCTTCTCAGAGAAGATGCTTCCCACAAGTTAGATGTGTGGCTTCCAGTCATATACTGTAGATCAAACAACTTTGCCCATATCTGTGCGAGGGAAAGCGTGAATGAAATGTATTCTAGTGGACAAGAAACTATGGCTGCAGATAAGTCTGTAGACGTGTTTAAGACTCCAGCTAAGGGTTTCGGCATTATCTGGAGGGACAAGATGCAACTGAATCTGATCACTTCTGGCAGAAAATCACTGCCTATTGAAGCTCTTAAGGCAGCTACAGCATCAAGTAACTGAAAACTTAAGCTGCTAAATAAAAGCAAAATTGTAACCTTTTTACTGCTGATCCGTTCAAGTATAAAGAGAATCCATTCAGTTTGTATGTGTAGCAGTGTTTATTTTTCCATGTTATTTTTATGTATGTGCATACAGTGTAAAACAGGTGGACTTTAACTCTAATTACAGTTGTAGATCAGGAAGCTATTTAGTATTTGTAATTCCAATAGACCTGAATGGTATATCTTGTTGTTCTCACATGTTTAAGCTATTTTGTACTAATACTTTATACTATCGTGTGGTACACTTGTCCTTGATAACATCAATCTGGCACAGTTAATCATCTTAACTGTACCCAATACTGCGGTGTGCTTCAACACCTACTGTAACACATACTCCAATGAAAGCAACATGTTTAATGGAGATTACCAATAAATTAACAGGACAACAATTTGATCAGATTTAGATCAGTCATTTTCCTAGAACGTGATACTTGCTAAGGGGTTAGAAACCCTGTGGAAAACAAAAAGCCACTATCAAGCCCCAGGTGTAAAATATGTGGGCCAATATACTGATTTCTTTTACCAAGGTTTAGATTGACCAGGCTGGAATATATGTATTTATCAGTCCATCATTGCTGTTTCCAAGAGCGCAGAGTGCAGAATTTTTTTGGGGACTTTTTTTTTTCATAATAGGTGCTAGTGTTGGTTTTGATTGTGTGGACTGTGTTTTTTTTATTTGTTAGTAATGATCTAATTACTTTGAATGTTTTCATATTTATGCTTAAGTAGTGCCAAAATAACATACCACTACAGAATGGAAAGAATTTCTGGCACAATTCTGCTCTGCTGTGGTTCCAAATTGTTAATATTAATTTTCTATATACTGTATACTATATACTATATACACTATATATGTAAAGTATTGTGAAAAACAGATAACATCATGAGCAATTCAATAGTGCCTATACTGTAGGACATCAAACTAAGCATGGGGCACCCCCTAATTCTAACTGTTACCTTTTTGCTTCTAAATTGCCCTCAATGCAATGTAAAACTGTTATCTAATGATGATGATGCAATGGTTTAGAGGAACTATTACAGCATATACCCGTACATTTAAAGGTGATCATAGGTGAGATTTAACACTTGCAGCACCTCGGTTTTGTGTGTTGTAAGCACTGAAAAAACATCTCATTCCATTAAAAATAAAAATATTTTTTTCAGTCATGAAAATACCACTTCTTTTTTTTTCTTCTTAACAGAGGCAAAGAATGTGCCAAAATTATGAGTTGAAGCTATTATTTGGAAGGTTAAAAAAAAACCCTGTCAAAGTAAATCATCCTCATTCAACAGAGACATTATTCTTATAATTAAAGACCAATTTCTAGCTCTCTTTGTATAAGGCATGTCGTACAATCCAAAACTTAATCAATTTAATTGTATTCTCAGGTTCTGAGGCAACAATTCATAGAGATGCTTGCACAAATAATTCTGACTGTGCTGCCACTGAACACTGATTAAAAAAAAAACTTGATGGGGCAAAAAACAGAACTATTGGTGAAAATACTGCTGGCAATGCTGTCTTGTACAAAGAAGACATCAGTTGCACTGTTTTTGTGTATTGTATAATTTCAATATACAGTAGTTCTGAAATTTGACTTAGTTGTACAGTGTAGTAGTAGCTCCATAGTTCCATAGTAAGAAATAAGTAAATGGTTAAATCTGCTCCTGAATTTGTCCTTCAGCCACTCAGAACCTGACTGCAGACACCCTGCCCAGTGTACTAAACAGGGTGGCTAGATTAGGGCTGACATAAGGATGTTGGATAGGTCTTCACAATCTTTGTCCTTGTACGGTGTTTAAGATAAGGAGCACAGACAGCTATACTGGCCCCAAACATTATTACCAGCAAACAAATACACATCAGAATATATTGATTTTTTGTAATTTTAACCCAGCACCAGCGTTGATCTGAAAACCATGTAGTATGACAGGATTTTGGTGTTAAATGATGCAGATCAAAAGCTTTCACACAGAAGGAATCACTAACCTTTCTAGCAGGGGTCATATAAACAGGGCACTCAAAGAGGTCAGCTCTGTCTCCTTCACATACAGCAGCTTTATGCAGGATTGGCCTGACAGTGACGTAGGGAAGGTGTACAAACTCTTCACTGAAAAAATACCAAAGTTTGGTTATTCATTGGTTATTTATCTCTGAGTCAGAATGGACACTAATAGGTGCAGGTCACAGCTAAAAGAATCGAAACATTCGATTGAAACAAGGGTACTCTAAATCCTTCAGCTCTTAAATATTATTATAAAGCACTTTTCTAACCATTCTTCCAGTAAATGCTACATTCAATTACAAATTTACGATACTTGCAGGCTGTTGGAAGATATCATTCAAGAAAGTATATGAGGTATCAAGCAGTTATTGATTCATGAGACCTACTATATTAGGAGATTATGTTTTCAATAAAGTAAATATGTAAAACAAATTTCCACATAAAAACAAGACAATGATTTATTTTAAACGGGCAGCTACAGGCTACACATATTGTGCAGAATTCTTTTGCAAAGACAGCAAATAGGATGAAATATGAAATCAGTCTAGAATTCCATTTCATTTCACTCAGGCCCTTAAATTATATGAGATATCTACTAGCTCTTGTGCAGTAAATAGAGCTGAAAGGGAAAAAAATGATGATGCAGTCTCAAGAACCACAAGGATACCCTTGAATATCTACAGTACCATGAGTGGCTTTAAGAAGAAAAATCTAAGCCAACAGCACTGTTCACTCCATTTACTGTGAAACAGATTGCATAATCAGAAAAAGAACTGTTCAATGTCTTCGGCTCAAAGAATTAAAGGAAGTCTTATATACAGAAGACCTGAGCACAGCCAGGTTCTGTCCATGTAATTTTAGGCTTTGTAAAAAAATTATACTCAGCAGTATTCTGGACCTCTGGTTAGTGACAAATGTTAAAGGGAAGGTAATAAGAAATAGATAAATTATCTCAAAATTAAATTTGTGCAAAGAGATAATGAAAACAGCAGGGGTATGTAGATATAATTATACATTTTTTCTAATATTTTATTGTACAATTATATCTTCATCAAAAGATTTTTAACCTATCTGCCTCTAATTGTCCTCTGTGAACTGTATTCCGATATGGATTTTTGAAAGTGCGTGCCTCAAATGATGGAGTAATAGACAAAGAGAAAAAAGAACTTAGTATTCCACTATAATGCATTAGCAAATTCTAGTGATTAAAAAAGCCTGAAGGAATCTGATGCATGAACCTTGTGACAAGGCAACACCTGTCACTGTCATTCAAAGCTGCAGGTGAGTGTAAATAATAAGATACACGTCACAACACACATATCAGGAACTGAACACGCTGGGATATATTAAGGAGATGTACCTTGACTCTACAAGAGCATTGTTACTGAAGTCCCAAGATGCTCCCTGAAGACAAAGTCCCTCCAGAGTCAAACAATGTGGCTGTATGTCATACTGGTCCGACGGTTCTCGGCTTCTGGAGACATTACAGCAAACTGCAGTCTAAAATCAGAAAGACACACTGGTTTTCTTTTGCAAGCACAGACAAACTTGTGCCCTGACTATCCACGTACAAGGTAGGGAATGACCCTGTACTGTATATGGGGAGTGCAAAACTATCTGGCTGTACTTAGTTGAGGGACCAATTAATTGCAAAGAAGGCAGATATTATGATGAAATAAAATCCATGTATTTTTTATCCCTTAGTATAGATATTGATAACATTTCTTTTGAGACTTAAAACAATACTGACAGTTTTACATACATTTACAACCACTTTTTATGCACAACCCATTTGGGAAGAGTGACTCCTGTACTGCTCAGAGAAGACACATAGACAGACTCCTTCAACATGGGGTGCCATTCACTATTTGACAGACTGAAGCTCCGGGAGCCATATGTCTCTTACCAACGTCAACCTAAAGCGATTCGCAGGCGTCTGTTTTCCGAGATGCTGAGCGAGCCCCAGCCAACTAACTGTTGGCATACCTCGTTACATTCTGTATCTTAAAATATACCAACCTCATCTAGTAAACACATGTTGGCTATTGCATATTCATGCCTCAGGGCCAGGATCAGGGCAGCTGGATTGACCAGGGCTCCAAGCCACACTGAGGTGACTTCATTACTGACTGAGCCCTGTGCTTTGGTTCTTCCACTCTCTTCCACCCACTGTTTTAACTGACTGTGTTTCTTCTTTAAATCTGTGTTAGGGAATAAAATCAGACAGACAGCAACTCAGTACAGTTTTAGATTTCAATAGAGTAAGAGACAAAAGGTTAATTAAGTAAAATGCTGCACCTCCTTTGCGCTATGATTTAATCCCATATGATGACCAAGTGTAAGAGTTTGATGACTATCATTTAACCCTAGGCTGACATTAAATAAACTGTTAATAAAGACTGCAGACGACACATTGAGATAGCTCAAGTAAGTGTTCTGAGGCCTAATAAACTGCTAAATGGTAACTATTTATCAAACAGTGAAGGCCAGGCACACAACAGCATTCAGAAAATGCTGCAGTGAGAAAAAGCCCTTTTTAAGTCCTTTAGTTCTACAGATTCAATTTAATGGAGGAGAGCGAATTCCTCATCTAGATCCCCACCAATTATTTTAAAAAATCGTTAATTGTTTTGATTTTCCAACGTTAAAAGCCAATGAAGGAGTCTGTTGGAGGCCTCTGAAATGCTTGACAACTTGTGACTTCATAAAACAGCCATCACAACATTGTTAAACCATAACAGATGTATCCCTGGTTCACTCACCTTCCAGCCACGTCTGAAGAGATGTGACGCTTGGCTGATAGTTAGGAGGGATCCAGGGCTGTGGTGCTCTCCCCTTCTCCAGTGCTTGTGAAACCTCAGCAAGATGAGGGGGGAAGGCACAGCCCACTCTCAGCGTGCAGCTGAAGAGCTCAGTGACCTGCTGTCTGATGTGACACAGCAGACGGTTCATCCATAAGCACTCCTGAAACCAGCATCCACAAAGAAGGAGAATGAAGAGTTTCTAAACTGCACATGCCCTCCTTTCAACACTAGGGAACAACCTTTTGCACGGCAGAAACTAGGTGGCATAATAAATATTAAAAACATTTTTTTTAGTGGATAAGAAAGGTTCAACGGAATTTACACTTGTCTTTATTTATTCTTTTTTCAACACAAATATTCACTCACAATTCCATTTTATTTCATTTATTTCTAATTGCAGAAAAAAAAACAATACATTAGCATACACCTGTAAACCTGGAGAAGCAATTTGTCAGTCAGTGAACAACTCGCAAAGAGAGAAATGATTTATCTGGGAAGAGAAAATTAAAGCTGCAGAGCAAAATTAGCAATTGTTTTCAAATCACTGGTTCTAAAACTCATTGCAACACTAACCTTCAAATTATTGTTAAAGATTTTTTTTTCCAGTGTGAAGTACACGCTGGTTTTTTATTCAGAAACAACTCCCGTGGAACTGTGAATTTACCTCTAAAAAGGTCAATTGCATACAATACATGTATGTTTCCCAAAGAACACCTCAATATAATTTAAAGTATTAAGTATTGATACATTGGCAGGAAACTACTGAGAATTCAAACAGACTGGCGTGGAAAGAACCCAATTTAAATGCCCATATCTATTTACAAATGGGACAAAGCCCGAACAAATTGAGGAACTCAAGAGCAGGTTTGCGCTATTTAGTGTCCAGAGGAATAATGGTGCACAGGTTTCTCTGGTGCACAGGCCTACTGATGAAGGCCCCCTAAGACTACCAGGGAAATGTCCAGTTCAGGGGTCAGCCACTTCAGCCCCAGGTTGTCTCATGGGGAAACGGTAACCATTGCTAATTTAGAATGGGCAGCCATTGATTCTCCTCTACCTCCAACCTACATAAAGCTCACTACCACAAGCCCCGTACCAACATCGGATGAATAAGGGTTGTAATGGCCCTTCTGAAGCCATGTACAGTAGCACTGCCACACTGCTCTCTCCACAGGGCAGTGCAGGAAAGTCAGCACCACCTGCTGAAGCAGCATGCATCTCATTGGCAGCACTGTAAGGTCAAAGAATTGCTAAGTCCCAGACATGGTTGCACTGCATGTACTATTTAACCAGGGATACCTGACAGACCTGAGCTTCCCCAAACCTGGTGGCACATGGCCCCTGGCCACAGCCACTGTAGCAGCACAGCCAAAGCTCAGCCCAACAACAGGTTAAATAATAAACGACAAACCTCACACTGCACTCTGATCAAGAACTGCATTAGATTTCATTGTACCATATGCTCGATGCAAAAGGCCAAAAAGTCAGTCCTTAAACAGAGTAGCAGTCACAGAAAATAATGAACTGACCAAAACCACATGTATCCACGTTTCAGCAGACAGGCCAGAAAAAATACAATTATTTTCCTAGGTTATTTCCCTTAATTATGTCAGTCTGCAGGAGCTGCTCAGGAAGAAAAATGTATCGTGTCTATGAGACACGATTCTGACATGCTCTGTAACCCACAATAAGTGACATGAGCAACTACAGCTGTTTAAATTATACAGTAGGCTGACACAATACAAGAATGTAAATGTAAGTACAGTATGTATTGCATAGTAATTGAATAAGAAAGTTCCTTGTACCTATAGGTTTATGGTTTTATTTGTCATTTAATAAATTGTAGCACCACTTCACAACATACTTATTTCAGGGGATTTTCTGTATATTCTTTTGTTCATATGCTAATTAAAAGAATGCCTCTTCAGTAGTACGGTGATACTGTTATTGTGTTTGCATCATGTTGCTCAATAGTTTATATTTATAAATCTACACTGCATTGCATATTTGTGTTCTCTAAAAATTATTAAAAACACATCACATTTTTCTAACTTATTCCTTTGCAAACTTTTTGTTCGTAATTGCAATGTGTCATCATACTGTAGCAGAGTAGGTTAAATCAAATTTGTTTCTGTCATAATCAGGCTGGAGTATTAGATAATATGGTTTTATAGAATTAATATAATATTATACAGCATTAGAAACAGGCTACAGTATTAGATATCTAAAACTAGTAAAAATAGTAAAAGTTACTGCCAGAGAATTATTTGAATAGGACTCATCTATATAGTTGTTTCTTTACAGGTTGGGTTATTAAACTGTCAGCTTTTAAAACATATACAGGTACAAATCTCTGTAAGGAACCCAGTGTGCATCCACAAACAAACAAGCCCCAACACCTTCAGAGAACCAGTTCTGATTTACATGTATTCCTGTGTACAGAGAAAGAAAAAGAGGACACATCGAACACTGCACAGTATATTAAAATGACCAGATTATGCCTTGTGTTAATGTAAAAAATAGCAAAACTGATTTTCGTAAAGTACAAACCAAGATTTAAAAAATACAGATGAAATCTGTTGAATGAAAAATGTCCTTGTCAGATGTGGATAAATAAAGGGGTTCCAGTTGGCTGCAAAAGTACTGGAAGCTCATAGTGAATTAATTTTGGGTGGTTGTCATTTGTGTACAGTGGTTTAGGGATATAAACAAATTCCAGGTAAGAAGCTTGAAATGTTGAAGTACAATCTAAATTCTAACGTAAAAACAATTCAAGGGACTAAAAGGCAAATGTTTTTTTTATAATCATGTATCATTTGCAGGTATAAAGTGAAAAGACCAGACCCAATTAAGTATTGCTTAATATTAACTGAAACTGAAAATCACGGTTAATTGCTATCGAATCACGAAGCATCAAGACTGACAGGATAAAGTGTCTCTATAGAGCTGTATTTTGACAACGTACAGCACTTTCTCAGTATATACAAAGAGAACGGCATAGTACGGTGATAATCTCTCAAAGGAACATACAACGAGTGCAGTGGAAGTCAAGGCTCTGTTAGAATAAAGTGGTTGACAAAGCAGCATCACTGCACTTTGTACGAGCTTATCTAAATAGAGATATACACCAGGCAGTTCTCTTTTTAACCACTGCAATCTACAACTGATACAGTTTCAATTTATGCCATACAAAGTGCCTTGGCCTGTGATGTCCTCTGCTACAGATGATTAATGGTTTGAGTGCCCACAAGGGTCCTCCAAGAAAACTGCCAAGGGAAGCAGATGCAGCCAGTTTTACATTATCCTGACTGCAACAAACTAATTCCGTGGTGTCAGCGCAACCGCGACGCTCCTGATTATGAAATATGATGCGTGTTGAATTTAATGGCTTTCCTCTGCCCTTCGAGCAAGTTCATTGCTTTCCAATGTCGTTGCCTGCTCTTGTCTGAGTGGTAATAAGAGAGAATCATATGGTGTTTCATTGAGTGTGGTGGCTCTATAACCACTGTGTGTTTTACAATAAATTGCGTTACAAGTCTTCGCTTCCCCTGAGAGTATTCAGGGGTGCCAGGAGGTAAACTCTTACTTCTATTATCTAAATATAATATCCTTTTGGAAGAAAAATGATGGGGAAATTATGTAAGGTTTTTACCAAACAATCCTTCTTCACACAAACCAGGCTTCCTTCTGGAAAATGTGAAAGAATCAATTTGTTTTTCCTGTGCATGAAACTACAAACTACTGCTGTTAAGTGCATTTATTTTTCAAAGTAGTGGTTTAACTTCAATTGCAACTGACAGAGGAGGTTGTGATGAAAATTGTCCAGCAGTTAGATGGTCTCTCAATATGAATTTGTATAATTTTATGCTTAATATGAAAGAAAAACAGTCATATATCATGGAAAATTGTCAGTGCATATTCAAAATATATGGTTTTTAAAATAAGTCAGTATAAAATTCACAATTTAGAAGTCTGGCCATATGGGCCAGGAAGCTGGATCCCCCCGTGATAAATCAAAGTGGTGCTATACTGGTAGTGGCCCTAGGGATGGAGGAAGGGTGTCAGCATGAAATACCAGGAAAAAATAATTCCATATTCCCTATACCATAGGGAATCACAGACTGGTAGGAATTGGGATTTGTTCTTCTCCTTAACGTTTTGTTATGTTTTGTAACACAATAGTAAAATGAAATGTGAAATTGCAAATACTATACAGTTAAAAACCAAAAACACCTTTGCTATTTGAAATAGAATGTGGAACATTTAAAGAGATGTATAAACTGATAGAAAGACTAATTACAAAACAATTTCTGTGCTGAATTCATCGTAATGTAATAAACTGTCAGTACATAAGCCAGATTGTGATAGCAATTATCTAAGCTAGCAGGATAAAGACAATACTAATAAATACATTCGGATAGAAACTACCAAAGCAATTAGATTAGAATTATACTGTATACAACAGTATATGCAACTACATTTCTTTTAGATTACCTTTTCTCATCAAAGGAAACTAATTAAATAAGGTAATAATGAGCAAAACAAATGAATGAATGTATCCAAATACTTTTCAGCAAAAGACCTTCCAACATCTACAGGTTCAAAAGAAGGTATTTTTCTCATGCTGTTATTTGATTTTAGTACTTTATACACAACCTTCTCATATTCTGACCACATGTAAAAACATATTCCCAGCAAAATACAGTGAAGGCTGCCCATTGTTACAGTACTGTTATAATTAATGAATATTTATCACCACGTGATATAAAATCTTCATGGGCTTATTAAGAAATTTGGTTTTGGTTTACAAACATGAGAGGAGTACATACTAGTGAGATCCATAACCTTCAATAGTTTAGTGCAAGCAGGAACCAATACCATTGTACTGTATTACATAATTTACCCAGAATATATAGTGAAGATGTCTAACAAGTATTAAAACTCCCAATACCAACCCAATAAATTATTCTTGTTGCTCTTTGAGTGTTACCAGATATGCAAGTAGCGTGATTTCAAAGCAATTTCTTGAATAAAAGAGTAAGGAAAAGAGTAAGACTTAGGAGTAACAAAAAAAAAGTACCTTAACTACATTGGACATCTAAGGAGCACCATGGGATTGTGCAGAATAAAGCAAAGCTATGTCTTACCTCCAGCAAAGCATACCCCACTGTTTTCACCACAGCGCTATCTTCAGCCTTGGCCAAACTGGATACTAAAGACCAAGGCAATGGGCCATTGTCCACCTTAAAAAAAAAATAACAGAAAAGGAGTTAAGTCCAAATTGTGACTTGCACATCATAGTGTACCTAAGTTAACTGCTTTCAAGAGGAAAAAAAAAGACCCATTCTTAGATATCATGTTGGTATTGTGAAAACGGCTCAGGAATCAAGCAAGTGTGACTTGAAGCATTCGTCTAAGTTAACAACTCAATCCACGCTGATTAAAAACCTTCCCTTGCACACATTACCTCCAGGAGGCCAGGGAGTTGTTCCAACACGAGATCCAGAGAAAGGCTTAGTGCTGAGACCCCCAGGGGAGCTATGGAGTCTTCATGGTCCGCTGATGGCAGACCACACTGCAAGACCTCATAAACCTCAGATAAATTGTGCAGCAATCCAGCAACCCTTAGCATGGGGAAGATAAAGAACAAAGTGCATTACTGGTCTCAAGCTACTGAAAACCACAGCATGGATTACAGTAGGTAGTAGTAATAATAGTTTAATATATGTTTAATAAATAAATACATTCTTATTATTACACTATATCATACACTTATATAACACTTTTCTGCGCACATCACTCAAAGCTCAAAAAGATAATGGGGATCCCCTCCACCACCACCAATGTTCAGCCCCCACCTGGATGATGCGACGGCAGCCACAGTGCACCAGTATGCTGCCTAAAACAGCAGCTCTCAGTGGGGAGTAGAGCAGAGTGATGAAGCCAGTTCAGAGATGGGGATTATTAGGAGGCCATGATGGGTAATGGTTAAGAAACACCCTGGAATTTTTAACGACTACAGAGAGTCAGAATCTCGGCTTTACGTTTCATCTGAAGGATGGCGCCTTTTTTACAGTACAGGGTTTCTATCACTATACTGGGGCATTAGCACCTACACAGACCGCAGGGTGAGTGATTTGTAATGTACTGTATGTTCAATAGTGTTGATAGTCTCATAAACACAAAATACAATTCCACGATTTTAATGGCAGCAAACACAACAATGGAGATACTAGGTATCATTTGAAGAGTTAAAACCAACTAGAAAAATAACATTTAGAAACTTACAAGTGCTTTGAGTCATTTAAGACGAATTAAGTAAGAAGTAGCGGTGAGGTTTAACGAACCCAATTAATCATCAACCCCTTATTGTAACAGGGGGACTATAAGAAATTATTTCAAACTCTTATGAACTGGGGTTAATATTTTAATTTAAAAAAAGCCTTCATTTTATGCTTCATTTAAGTTTTTTTAAAGAGTGACATAAAAACCATTCCATTTTAGTCAAATCTGTTTCCTAACCTGTGGTGATTCACTTCACTAAAGTGTGATTAAAATGAATGCTAATTAACTGTGCTGTATTTATAGAATTAGCAGTGAATTAATCTGACTTAAGTGACAAATTGTAATACATGCTGATGCAATGTAAACAAATGCACCTATCACAAGACTGTAAACATCTTTTATCAACCATTAGACTCTTGCCATTATCAGCTCACTCAAGGCTGGCGGCAAGGAGGAGGGGGTTACAATCTCATTAATACATTGCACCTTCCAGTCCCTCAGGTCAAAAACCGCACAAGCATCTAGTTCGCAAACACAAGTCTACCAGCTTCCAGCACACTGAAAGAATTTACAGGTCGGTTTTACGGTTTAGGCAGCCTGCCAAGAAAGATTCAACACCAATAAAAGCATACATATTAAGGCACCTCATGTGTAAAATTCATTCAACAGCAACAAAAGCTAAATGAACGATAATTATTTTATGCACAGTGGTGGCAGTAAAGGATGTTTGGATCTTATATTTTTAAGTGGCAGCAGTATTAACATGCTCATACTACAGTAGCTTGGAATGGGAAAGAGTCGTTTGCACCTGGCCTTCTTTAATAGATATATGATTTTAAAGTAATCCTTACTCATTAATGAACATCCGTGTGTTTCATTAAAAGAAATACACTTATTACATGAATTGCTCATAGTGGCATTCCTTTAGGAACATGTTCACAGTGAGGGTCACCACTGAAAGCTAAATAAAATGCAACAAATATTCCACTGGCTACATCAGGGAATTCTTCAAAAAAAGCTCCTATTAAGTGTATAAAGAACTGCATGTTTGGTAAAGCACAGAGGAACAATTCTCAAATGCACAATTAAAAGAATGCACAAGAATATGAAGTACCGATCAAAACCAAGTGCTCGAAATAAATGTTTCTTTTGTGTCACTGCTTGTACAGTATATCTTTTCCTTTCTTTTCTTTACAAAGGGCAAATTTGATTCTTTGTTTTGAGGGTAGCCTTTATTTGAAATTAGGACTGTTTTCTCATAACATTAAAATAAAAGATGATAAACATATCACAAAAGGCATCTGTGATCTAGACAGACCTATTACTGTATAGTAGATATAGTAGAAACTAGTACTGCACAAAAAGGCCAAATCCTTATCAGAGCCACAGAGACTCACTGGACCAGTGCTGATCCTGTTTTTTGTCATGTTCACTGACTAGAGAGCATCTTATTCTCTCCCTGGATAGGATTCTGGCCCATTGCAGGGATTAAACCCTGATTTCAGGAAAGTCAGTCCCCACTTATACCCTGAAGTAAAGCATCTCGCTCAAAGGTACTTCAACAGTAGGGTTCGCAGTGGGAATGTGAACCCACAACCTACTACACTATGTCACCCCCAAACCTGCACAGTGTAATCTTAATTTCACCACCCATGTAATCCACCTCAAAGTGGAATGGTGATGCAGGCCAGCTATTTGGCACCAGTAACCCCACTGCACAGATGAGGTAGAAAAATAAATTGCTTCACAAATTCCATCAAGGGTGAACTTTAGGTAGGCCAGATTCAGCATGAAATCTCTAACTATTCTAATTTTCATTGTTCTGACTATTATTATAGTCCATGCATAGGAGCAAAACTAAACCCAGCTTCATACTCAATTCTTATACCAGGAAGATATTTACTGTCACAAAATTAGCTCCCTGTACAACTATAATATACAAAATTATCTATTTTCCCATACATTTAGAATAAACTGGAGTATACATTAAACACTGGCAATTTTAATCAAATGTTAAAATTGTGCTGCAAGTAGACTTCAGTTTAATCTAATCTGTTAATACAGAGTTCACATGACTCTCAGTGAAGGTCATGCGTTTAGGAGGGGATTGCTGGTATGTCAACATAGAACAGTGAAAAAAGGGCAACAGTCTGAGACGTTCCACATCAGATATATTGAATGGATGTTTCTGATCATAATGCATGTTTGATTACTCATTATCTAGAGGAGTGTGTCACCCTCAATCACTACACCAAGTGTATAATTGTAACTGCACAACCTGGGATTAACACCTTCACTGTATTGACAGTTTCATCAATGGAGAAATAATCGAGTCACTTGTACATATTATTGGTCTTGTATGCTCAAGGTCATTTAATATCTGAGGACAGCAGTACATGGAGGGATAATGCTTTTATTGGCTTAAGCAAGGTCAGGCTAAAAAAATGCCATTACAGCAGTCTCACTGGATTTTATTTTGTTCTGAGAAATTCACTGGTACTACACTAGAGTGCTGCCGATAAACCTGTCAGTTTAAAGAAGAAAGTATTGATTTGGGCAAAAGGTGCAATATCTGTTCTTTACTGTATTATGAAGACTATTTCATTTAGCAGGGAGAGACCTGGTGAAAACGGTCTTAAAACTGGGTAGAGAACCACTTAGACATCACACAGTAAATGACAAAAAAATGAATTTGCTTTCACAAAAATACCTTGATTGATTTTGCAGCTTTTGAGTGCTCTTGTGCAGTGCTAGCCCAGGGCAGGAGTCAAATTCAGACAGATGTCTACACAGCCAGAGGGAGTACTGAACAGGCTCAATGTTTGCTGCTGGAATAGGAACTACAAACTCACCAATTGCAATTTTTCCTAAAAAAAGAAACCGCATAAACATGGAGATGGTAAATATTTTTCTGTGGTAGCAAATATAATTCACTAAAATTAAATACCATATTTTGGGTAGCAGAAAGATACCTTCACAGTGCATTAGCATGGTCAAATGAGCAATATGCCAATGTTCAGCAGTTACAGGCGAGACAATTATTAATGCTTTATGATGAGGTCGAGTTAGTAAGGATATCTCATGTATAATAGCACTCAAAATGCAGTTGAGCAAATAATGAATCTAGTCAGAGGATAGTAGATGCTGCAGGGCTACAAGTCAGATGAATTCAGCTTTAAGACGGATTTGAAGAAAACATGACTGGCTAATATGAGCTGCCAGATAAAAAATACATCTTCAATTAACCTAAAAAATTTACAGGCTTTTTCAGCATTAATATCCTGATAGAAAACATGCCATTATAGAGGAAGGAGTTCTCATTTATATGCTAAAAAAGTCAGTGTTCCCAAAAAGAAAGTGAAATTGAAAAATTAAACAACCAAAAATCTATCTGTAGTTCTGATCCACGTTTTTGTATGAAAATTATACAGACAAAAAACCCAGAAGAGTTTAGTACAAATGGAAATGAGTGGAGTGTGTGTGAGATGTGAGAGGGTCAGGCTGTCCAAGGCTCTAAAACGCCCTTCAGGATGTTTAATATAAAGTAATGTAGGCTTGCCAGGCTGTGTGCTTACCATGTGGTTGAGTACACTGCAGTAACACTTCCTGAGCTAACGCTTCAATGTACAGGGCATCTTCAGAGACAGTGACTGTGTTCAAATAGATTTCAGTGATCTTATCAATGAGAACTTGGATGAAAGAGTTGCTGATAACTCCACCTTCTCCATAGCTGCTGATTACTGCATCCATAGCCTAAGAAAGAGAAACAGAATTGTTAATTGTACAAGAAGTTTAACTATCTGGTAGAAATAATATCAGGCACACTTTAGTTTAGGAAGATGATTGGCGATAATCTCTTGACATGTAAGGCTCATATAAACAGTTTTAAAGTTCTAAATATATTCTATAAATTAGAGGTGTAGTTAAGGCTATGGATCTGGATTAGAGATTTTTTTTACTAACAAGCAATTAATGTATATCAGAGATTGGTTTTTATCACATTATGTCAGGCTACTGATACTTTATCAACGTTTAATCTATAAAACCTCTGGGAGAATAGCCCATTTTAAAGAATAAAGCAAATAATACAAGTTCAAGTCTTTAACTGTGTATATTACAAGTTCACAATCATAAAAAAATGTTTAACAACTATAGTCATCTATAGGAAAAAAAACCTACAAATCATTAATCCTTAAGGAGAGAAAAACTTACAAAAGAGAAGGGTGACATTTTTATCCCATGCAAACTAAGTGACAGTAAATTAGAACCAGAATCCTTGTTTAGTGTGTAAAAAGCACTTTCCTTATCAACATGATTAAAGAAGTAGTTTTTTTTTTCAAACCCAACAATGTGAATCATTAAAGCACTGGTTTTATAGAATAAAAGAAGCCTTGTATTGTTTGATGTTTTGAGGTGGCAGAGTTTTTAACATTGCTTCCTTGCAGCGCTGGGGTCCCGGGTTCAATTTTGGACCTGGAGTGCTATTTTCATGAAGTCTGTACAGTATGCTCTCCATGTGTTTATGTGGGTTTTGTGTGTGCATCTGTGCCCTGCGATGGACTGGCGTCCTGTCCAGAGTGTACCCTGCCTTGCGTCCATTGCTTGCCAGGATAGCCTCTAGCTCCCCAGCAACCCTGAATTGGAAGAAGCGGTTAGATAATGGATAGAGGGATGTTTTGACTAAATGCTGCAGAATCTCTAGCTCACCTGCAGCAGCTGTGTGTCGTTCAGTGGATACACCTGGCTCAGCCCAGATCCAGGAATAAACTGAGACCCGACTATCAGGCCATGAAGAACACCGGTACCGAAGCAGAGGCCGCGACATTCCGCTGGGAGGTCAAGCACCCTTTTCCACACCTTCTCATGGACTTGCTCCAGAGCCAGCACTACTGCTGCAGAGATGAGCAACTCGAGGATTATAAATGTATTTTGAGCACTGTTTGACTGAATATTGCTTTGGTAATGTACTATGTCTAAAATCTTTTTTGAAAATAATTGTATTACTGTCTCTTACATTACAAGCAAATTAAATAAGCATTAGCGTCTGACTTACTGTCTCAAAGTCATTTTATTTAGGTTTTAATTTCTTACCTGTTATCGTTCCATCATGTGTGGTTGTAATATTGCTGAAGCCTTGACATTTCTTTTTGCGATTATTATCCTTTTTAATTATTTCTCCAAAAAGTATTTCTGACTTAAGCAATTATATTCTTTAACTGCATCACTGCTGGCAATGGTAGCACTGACACCAGCAAATCTGCACAGAACTGTTGCTCGCTGTTGATATTAAGGGTGTTTTTGCAAAAGGAGATATATTGAATTATTGTTCCCCAATTACCCATTGGCAGCAGTTCACCCCGAAGACCATGAAATAAATCACTCCCCATCAAGCAGTGAGTCATCAGTGCATGCCATGAGACCTTGCAAAACAAAATACATTTTAAAAATTATGTACAAAAAATACTTTGGGTACTTACTGTAAATGTCTGGAATTATAATTGTGTTTTTTTTTTTTACTTTGCTATGAACAGAAAAAAAATATCATGGTTGACTTCTTGCACAAGAATCAAAACAAATGCAAGGCATAATGAGAAATTAAACATGCTAAATAAAGAATGCTGGCATTACAAAAATGAAATGCACTGGGCACAATTCAGTTTCAATTGTAATTAATTTTCCCAGAATTATGTCATATGCAACTGAACAATTCCTGTTATCCAATGTTTTAATCTGTTTTTTTTTTAACTGTACAGTACGAACACTTTTCCTTATCTGCCATAAAAATACTTTCCTTTTGTATATTCAGTGCTGAAACATACAGTATAGACCTGAGGTGACATTTGCTCTGTAACATCTAATCATGTCTGAAAAACAATGCATACAGTACAGCATGTGTTTAAATAAATCATGCTCTTACTTTTCTACAGTGGGCATAAGTAGTGTTTTTACTGAGTATCTGAATGATTAAGCACACCAATCTTACATACAGTTCTAATAAAACAGAATAAAAGCTACTGAACTAAACTAATTGGTCTGAACTGCATGTTATTAGAGCCTCTTGAATCTCCACATAGATTCATTAAAGATTCTTATCAAGAGAGGAAGCTGTTTTACTAACAACCCAATTGAGATTGTACATAATTTTGAATTGGAACCAATTTGTTTTTAACTGATTCTACATTATCCTCCCTGAGAAGCTACACACACTTTCTATGGTCAATACAAAGGAATCGGATGTGCATAATCTGTCCGAGAGCAAAACAAAAAGACAAAGGCCACCGTCCAATTATATGCAATGCAAACCTCTTAAATGTCAAGCTATTTGCATTAACAAAAGCATGGCGGCACTCAACACACATTAGCTATACACAGTACATCTGTCACATCGCCTAACCCATGTCTTCAGCCAAGAAGGCAGGTCCTCATTCCCCAAGCCTGTGTGTATTGGACAAAATGTCTATTAAAAGGGAAATGTTAAATCGCTCTGGGTCTTTCCTGCACATACTGTGCTGTATGTCTATTACGGTTTTTCTAATGCAATGGGGATAAGATAAGTAAAGCAATATATCTTTATTTTCATTACCTTCTATGATATGTTTTTTTAGATAATTGCATTTCAGAAATAACACCCTTGTAAACTCTCAATCCCATTCAGCTGAATCAGTACCCGAAGCCCCTATCAGTTCCATTATAAACTCTGCAGGCTTGCCAACACCAAGTCCCTCAATTGCTTTTGCCTTAAACTAATGCTTCCCAACACTAATTAAAACCTTGATTAGAAAATTGTTTTACTGCTTTATGTCAAAGCCTCACACTGAGCTCCGCTGTAATAAAACTCTGCTATTACAACTGGCATGTAAGGGCACATCTGTTTGTACAGTGCAGCAAAAATGAAGGCAGATACACAAGGCTTTAGAACTGTTAACTATCATTTGACGGGACAAGCTCTGATTTTCCTATGACCCTGAAATGAAAGAAGCAGTTAGAACATGGATAGCTGGACATTAAAGTACACTTTCTTATTTTGATATAAACAAAAAAGGCAAGGCAAGTGAAGAACTAAGATACTATGCAAAGACACACATTTACAGTACCTTGTGGATTTCCGAGAGGAAGTCTTCAGGAAATGGAGCTCCAGGTTCTGCAGTGAGCCACAGTCTAAACTGGTTGTTGCTCTGCTTGGCTGCAACAGCAGACATACGGCAAGTGTGTCAGTTCAATGAAGACATGTCTGCCAAATTCATTCTTATAGTGCTGAACTGGTAAATCTGGTAACTAAGATGGCTCAGTTTTGACAATCTCCCATTCCAACGTTTCAAAACTAAGATCAAGCATCTTAAAGCATCTGCTTGAAGCTCTTTGCGTTACATTATGAAGTCTAAGTTAACACACGACAAACCTGAAAAGCACATTCAAGGACAGGAACTCTTCAGCTATTCAGTTATAACCTGGTACAGTATATATTCAATTTATAGAAGTATATAAACTCTTAGTGTTAAATATAATCTATTGCATAGAATATTTACATTATTGCATTATAAATGTTTGTAAAATACAAAAAGGTAATTTCCTGCACATAACTGCATATACTGTATAATAAAGTGAAAAGGGCACAATTGTCACACTGAAATGATAAAATAGCACAAAAAAACAGAAATTCAATATTTTATAATTGAAACTGTAATTATTACTACATTTAAATATCAATTTCAATATTAAAACTCCAACACAGTAAAAATAGAACAATATTAACTTAAGGATATTCGTACCACTATCGTACCACTGTAATGCAACAATTTGTCCTAGCACATTCCGCTAATGAATAGTTTGTCCACTTTGTGGCTGTGTTTTCAAACCTGCAAGGTTCATCGTGTGATGGATTTTCTTGAGCAAGGACATTGATGCCAAGTGTACATTCTCAACAACCAACCAGCCCCCACACTCCATCATGTCACCCAGAGCTTTTTCAACACCACTTAGGCAGTCTTCCCTCGTAGACACCACAGAAACAGAGATGCCCATTTCCTATGAAGAGACACACAGCCCATCACAGCTGACAAATGCAACCAAGGACTGCAGAACAAACACATGCCAAAAATTAAAATCACCTTCTAAAACAACACTTACTAATTCAACGATTTGAGGAGACTTTGTGATGCAAAAGGAGTATATACAGTAGTCTGAAAAATCATACATATCTGGATACATTTTGTCATTGCAGTGGCTAAAAATGTGTAGTAAACTCCTGTTTCGTTAGAAGCAAACAGGGCCTCTGCAAGAATTCATGAGAATGATCTGAGCAGATGCAATAAAACAAACCTCTGTAAATCCGAGGTTATTTTGTAATCTCTACAAGATTACAAGGCCTTCAGCTTTTACAGCTTTGCTTGTTCATGGCTCTTTGAACACAGCTGTGAAATGTTTTCATTATTTGGGCATCAGACAAACAAAACAGTCTGAGCCTGGCAAAAAAGAAAAGACTGGAAGGCTTTGTTCCATGAATTTGTAACCAGCCCTCTTTAGAGCAATACGTTCAAGGCCCTTTCCATCTCCTCCTCACAGAATGGTCTCCCCTAGCACGGTGAAAATGTAGTTAGAGGATGTTAAATTGCTTGGTTTTACAATGCGGTTGGTTATAAGGTTTTTGTTCTAACAGGCGTCGCAAATGTAACAGAGCTTCACACTGTAAACGTCTCGTTCTGGTCCGTAATTCTGTTTTCTCAATGGACATATTCACTTGAAAAATATAATTGCAGTAAAATCATCTTGCACTTAACAGGCAGTATTAATTTGCTCTTTCCAAGAACTCAGACATACATGGAGTCAAAATACACATATAGAATTATTAATGTTTCTTACAGACACAGATGGGGGTAGTAGTTCTTCAATATACTGTATATGAACATACAATTTTACTGATATTATAAACTGTACGTAGTCTAAGACCTTGATAAAATGTGCCTTATGTCCACCACAGGAGAGTGAATATTCCTTTGAGGTTTGGGATGACTGTACTGATGGGCGATAAATGTATCCCTGCCAACCTGTTTGACACTGTTTAGCTCACTGAGTACAAGGAATTATAGGGGTCTCATTATGAACATCACAATGGATTTGAGGGGAACAAACGCTCAGGAAAAGAAAATGAGCTGCTACATTTCATTTGTGAAGTCATTAGACTTTATCTAATTAAATACACAATCTCATAAATTATGTCTAGCATTCTATACACGCAAATGCTCTCTCTAGACATTTCACTGTTCAGTGCATACAGTATTCATGATAAGCCATCTTGTCTCCAGCTGATATCCGAAGACCATTTCCTCCTGTGCATACACCTTATCTGACGTGCTTTGTCTTCAGATGTATGTTAACAGTGCTGTATTGAAATTCAGTGAACACCAGAGGAAGATATCAGTACCTTGGCAGCACTACATATGACAGTTGTAGGCTGGACACTCATGACTGAACACACATTAGAGAGTCCATTAGTGGGAGATAAGCCCGCTGGAAGAAGAACTAGAATTCCGACAGAGTCTTCCACAAGACCTGGAAAGACAAATAACACCATTTTCTTCACTTTCAGTTTGGAATTGGTAGTGAAGCCGCAGCATCGCCATTAAGGGCTTTTGAATTCCTTGGCTGAGAAGCAGCAGTTTTTCATACATTATGTGTGTTTGACTTTAAAAAAAAAAGGCAATTTATCACGGTATACTGTGTGTGTGCTGCTAGGCCTGTGAAATTTAAAAGCAAAGATGAGGTCAAAGTGCAACATAGCTTAAGAAGTTAACAAAAGTTTTTTTTTAAGTGTTTAAATCATCTAATTAAATCATTCAAGAGACCCAAAAGCAAACAAACCTTAAATCACCATTTCGTTTAATTTCACTTTTATTTTCCAGAGAAATACGACTATGCTTCGTAAGGACAGTGGAAACAAACTGCTAATTGCTGGTCCAACTAATTGCTAATTGTTGGTCCAATTTAGTCCATTCCGGACAGTGGAAAGGAATTGCATTTTGCTGGTCCAATTAGGAAACGGAAAATCCCCCATGTAATAGAACCAAACTGTCGCATCCTTACTTTTAACATCAGCAGCTTGAGGGCCTGAGCCTCCCCATGTGCAGACGCTGTCGTGCTGGAGGAGGTAGCGAGGCAGTGCGGAGATCAGGCGATCGGGCCGCAGAGCCCGCAGAAGCAGGAGCTTGTGCATGCCTGAGACCGAGCAGGTATCCGGGCTCTCTGGGGCTCCGTTCATCTCCACTGGTTCTCCTTCTGCGTGGCCAAAGTCACTTTTATTTTATTGTTAAGCTAAGCCAGGAACCAATCAAACTCACAGTTGACTGGTCAGTCTTAAAAAAGAGGCCTTCCATAGCAAGCACAGCAAACTGACAGAATTCAGCAAAGAAGACAGTTATGCAAAATAACCTCATTATTACGAACGATGAAAAAGTATTTAAGAAATAAAGGAGTAACTGGTGAAGTAAGCTCAGAGTAAATGCAATTGATCTGGATTACCTGCTTCCTACATGTTCAACAGTGAAACAGAGGACACAACTGGAAACTTCAGGAAGGTTCGTTTAAAACTGAGAACTGATGGAATTTTGTAAGCCAAGGGCTGCTGCAGTCTGAAACCAGCTACCCAGCCATTTTGTTGAAACCGATACCCTGGCTTCAACGGGAAATGGCTTCTTTCAAGAAATAACTGGATGAGATCAGATCAATTAGCAAGTAAAACCAAAATGAGCTACTTGAGCTGAGCCTCCCTTGTTTATTAATAATGTTTTTATGCCAGTTTGAAATGTTTATACCTTTTTTATTAATATGTAATTTTGTATTAATATGCCTAACTATCACCTGAAATGACAGATTCATTTTATTGCTACTACAACCCTATTGAAGCCTCTTTGAAAAGCTTTAGTCTCAGGGGGAAATGAACCGCATGTAGACAGCCTGAAAAAAAAATATGATTTTGCTGAATACAAAAGTAAAAAAGCAATTTACAGCAAGTCTTAAAGTGACAGAAAACATGTAGATTGAATGCTTTTCTTGAATAAAAAAAGGTTTGTTAAGTACCTCCAACAATTGCCACTACTACTTTGTTTCTGTTAAACCACAAGATTTCTTCTATTTTAAACATTATTGGGTTACAAGAAAGAAGGGCTGAAGAAGTTATTAACTAACATTACCAAACTAATTTATTTTTAAAATGAACGTATTCTGTATACATACAGTATGTAATAAATTGAGGTGCAGTAATTATGTAGTTTTTTTTTCTGGAAAAATACTTGGTTCTATTACATTAATAATTTATTTACTGATAATTTAAATAAATAAGTTAGGGAGGTTTGGAGAACTGGCTTAAAAAGCAGTATATATTGCAAATTTCACATTTATAAGAATTTTAGAAAGATTTATCACCACTGAGCTTTGTAAACAGTGTTATTTAAATATCTTATTACAAGCCTCAGAGGTGTTAAATCTTCTTGAGACCTCTTTTATTACAGGTTTGTGTTTGATTTATGACTGCTCTCTGCCCATTAAATGCTGTTTGGGAAAGCACAAATTGTTACTATGGGGCATCGTGGCTGGAATCAGAACAGTTTATTTACAAGGTTCTGGTGGCCTAAAAGTAAGACAACTGTTTTGCTGCTGAACTCTGTGCATACTGCCATTTATTAAAGGGCCAACTGAGAAGGATGAACATCTATCCAACTATCAGTGTGGTTTTTCAATAACATTCCATATCCATCTACGTGCTACACTGAGATCAGCAGGATCTTACTATTTGTTTGACCTCAAAAGATTAAAAAAAGTTATTGACTTATTTCCACAGAGTTATCAAACTCATGTATCGTGTTTAATTTTTTCTTCCCTATCTTCTTGGTGACAAGGGAAAATTGCCTTTTAACAGCGTCTGGTTACTGCTGGTTTAGTCTAGCTTTTGTTAGACACAGAATGTCATCTTCAGTGCACACTGGGTGGTATTCACAGAGTCGTTTTTTTTAAAGAATTAAAACAAAATGAAGGGCACTTCTTGAGAGGCACTCGTTAGAATCTTGGAGTTGGGTAAAAGCATGCCCTTCTCTAGTTGCAAATACCACACCTATAATGATCCACACAGTCTGATCACAGCTGGTGATCTTAAAAACAAGAGAATCTTCGACATGCTCTTTCCTCTAAAGTGTTGCCGTTGCACAATGTGGTGCACAGGGAACGTGAAAGCTATAACAATTACTTCAAATAATGAGCTCAACAACCTACCTCCATAAAAAATAATAGTCCCTTGTAATATGTTTAGCTTTATTACATAAAGCAGTCAAGTTACTATTTTCCCATAAAACAGATGAATTGGAAGAAATACATTAACAAACCCCCACAGGCGAATGCTAATGTTGCTGCGATATACAGTACTCCGTTTCACGTTATGCCATATGGTGCATTTGCTGTGGCCCCAGAGTGCAGATTATGCCGAGGAGTAAAGTAATTGTTTCCCTAATAATGTGTGACAGCAGAAAAATGTGCAACACAATCATATAAAAAATGTAAAGGTTTGCAGACTTGAAGTAAGCATTATGCCAACCGAATAAATACATTTTCTTTTAGGAAAATATTTTTTCCCATTGAAATCTGTTCAACGGGCACTTTGCTGAGTAGATATATGCTGCGAATTTTGTCCCTTAAAACATTTAACTGCTGTTTAACAGGCCCACAAGGATAGTGTGTTATCTGGACACATTAATCCATTTATTTTCAGTAACTGCTTTATCCTTAGGGGGGTCGTGGTGAGCCAGAGTCTAACTCGGGAAGCACACAGTGTAAGGCGGGATTATTCCCTGACTGGGATACCAGTCTACCGGAAAGCTCGCACAAATACAACACAGCAATTTAGAGACACCACTTAATCTGGACAGCCTGTCCCCAATCTGTTGGGGGGGAAATCAATTGCAGGATAGACACACACAGGTTTTCACTCACACAAGCAAATACAAAGCAAAAATACATTTTGAGTTCTGTGAAATTTACATGCCTAAGAGTAGCTCCGGAGAGAGATACAGTACCTGTTCATTTCTGAGTTAAAGAAATCAGTGCAGTCGCTTGTTTACTCAGGCTAACCGGTCAAGTTTCTAAATTTCTACAGTCAAAAACAGGGTTGTGGAAGTGTGAAACAAGCTGCTGTACACAGCCATGTGGTTGAAGACGATACCCTTCCTTTAAGAAACGGCTGGATGAGATCCTTGGAACTATACTAACTACCAGACGGGCCAGAATGACTGAATGGCTTCCTTTTGTTTGCTGCCGTACTTGTGTTCTTCTATAAACACAAGGAAAAGCAACACTGTTTTGATGTTTCTGAGCTGTGCCAGTGTGCTACAGAGTTGGAAGCCTGTCAGCAGCAAGTAGGAGCTGGGATAAAGGGTCTCCTGTTTAAAGCAACACAAGCAGAAATCCTGCAAATATGAAAATATATTTCACAGCAATATGTCTGCATTTCTGAGAAACTTACCTAATGGTAGTCGTTCTAGTTCTGGATAATCCAAGTTAAACCATCTTTCCCACTCAGTCGAATGCTCAGCAATCTGAAATAAAAAAAACAAAGCTGGAAGTATGTGATCATTGTTTTTGAAACATCCTCCAGAGCAAGTTCACATATTGATTGACTGACTGACTGATAAAACAGGATGGACAACATCAAATCCTCTTTTGAATGCTTAGTCAAGTTGCCCTGGTTTAATGTACTTTTTCAACTTGCTGACCTGGTGTGGTTGTTTCTGAACAGATACTGTGTTTTAAATTTCTGCCTGTCTCGATATTCACAACAAATCACCCATAATAGCCAGCACGAGTTTGGGAGGCTCTGATCTTTCTGAACTGAGCCATTAAGACAGACAAGTCTTTAAAGAAACTGCTTTCACTTATTGCCCTCAATTAACACCTTGCTCAACACAGTCCCACTCCAGCTCCTCAGCAGTGCACCAGAAAGGCAAGGTCGAAGTGATTAAGCAGGGCAGCTCTGCTCCTGCACTGAAGGCAAAAGTGCAACCAGCCTCTTCTCTAACGTTACCGTACTTGATAGGAAAGCTTTGAATTTGCCAGAATGCAGTGGTGTAGCATTGACATGGCAAGAATTTCCACATCTTCGCCCATTAAACACCATTCAAGCTGACTGATCTTTCAAGAGCAAACAATATTCATCATGGACATTTTATAAACTGACAGCCTTTTCAATTTAAGTTAACAACAACAACAACTGGAAATGGGAAAAGCATCTTCTTTAAAACCTAAATACCCAACTTACTCGTAGACTTCGGTGTATTTGCACAATAAGGTGTTCATTTACTAACCATAAAGAAACTTCTGTCACCTGTCTTAAGGTACCGTATCGTCAACTCTTTGCAAAATTGGTATTTGTACGCATCTCTGGACTTTCACTACATGGAGTCTTAAACATAAGAACAGTTACAGACAGGACATTCAACCCATCTGGCCCAAAGTCTGGGGGATGGTTTAATCATAATCTTGCACGATTCTACTCATTCATATCCACATATCGCGATTCTTGTGCATCACTCCCTCCACCCCATCATCACCCTTGCTCAGCTCCCTGGCTCCTCCCGAAGAAGAGGGGGAGTAAGATGGGTTTCTGAAAGCCTTATGCTCACGGTCAGGTAGCTGTAAAGTTCCCTATCTAATTCACACCTCTACACCATCTTAATTAGGGTTTGGCCAAACTACTGAAATGGGATCAACTTCCCTCACATTCATAACATAAACACACAATTTACACATTGTTAGCTCCTGGTGCTGGATACACAGATATATTCTGATATAAATCACATCTCTAAATAAGAAAAAGCAAACCTCAATGTAACCTGTGCTTTCATTGCTACTTTGCGAATACATGCAGAATTACCATTCATGATATTTAAACACCAAATGCAGTACATGAATGATTAAAAACACACAGTAATAAATTAATCATTGGAGGGAGAATTTCCTTCAAATTAATTTATAAGTTGTGTACACTTCATTACCCTACGCTGTACTGCTCAGGCATTAAACAAAATAAAACAGAAAGTAACAAAATCACTTGGGTGTTTGCCCGACATGATTGTAATAGAGGCAATATATTTTTCAGCAAAAAAAGGCCATGAATATCCCTGGATGTAATTCTCAGCACCACTTGCTCTCTACGATTGTGACATTAACTTTCCGGAGCTCTTTTCCGTAGATTTTACAACAGAAACCATGGAGGAAGGTTTGTAGGTAAATTCAAATTTACATACGTTGAGTCTGGCGTAAACCAAAATTAAGGACACTTCCTCTTCAGCTGATGTAATGTAACAGGTAGCTTACAGTGACTGAACTTCTCTTTGCTCCCAAAATAATAAATCCTTTGTCGATGTCTACTCCTGGCTTTCTGGTGTGGCTCAGCTGTCACGTCTCTGGGAGGAAAGTATCTCAGAAGTGTGTTCTGGCCCAATGTACTGTACATGTTACACTTGGGCCATGAGAAAGTATTGTAGCTTTGTTCACAAACTTTGCAGAAGATAAACGTTTGTCAATCACACACCTGAAGAAGGCTCCATTGCTGAAACGTTGTGTTTTCTTTCTTTTCTTTTCAGCTATTACTTGTTAGACAGATTGATGTCACTTCTAATTGCATTATCAAACGTGCAGATAAAATGATACAGTATCCAACCACAATTCCCTTTTGGGGGGGGCTAACAGTACCATTGAGGAGTTAAGAAATCTTGGTAAATGGGGCAAGACTCTCTCACGGTAAAATTAATCGTTTAGATCAATTTTCAAAACGCAGTGGCTGTCAACTTTGGTTTAAATGCACAGTAATAGGTTTGCTCTAACGTAGCAAGGGAGGATGATTTATGTACAGTATGTGCCTTGAAACAAGTGAGTGGGAGTGCTGAGACTGACCTGTACACAGACACCCTCCAGAGGACCAGGAAGAAGAGAGAGGGCCAGCAAGCACTCCCACTGCTCGGCTGGCATCCAGGCAGGTGGCAGCCCCTCAGAGCCAAGGTCTCGCAGGGACGGAGGAACTCCATCGTAATCTTGAAAGCCTTGAGAAGTGGGAAAGAAAGACACTGAATGAGTTTGGGACACACTACAGCAGCCGAGGTGCAAAACAGTACAGGACGTCTTTGTTTATTGCATGAAACAATCCGTAGTGATAGTACATGTTTTTATTATTATTATTACTGCAGTTCAATTTTGATGAAGGAAAAGAAATGTACAGTTTGTTCCAGCATATTTTATAGCCTAATATACTGTATGAGTGACCGCAGTCATAAAGAAAGCAAACAGCTTGCAACTTTCCATAGATGTAAGCAGAAATGAGACATCAGTCATTTATATAGGTTCTTTAGAAAAAAATGAAACTGCAGAAACTCTTAGAGGATCATTTTACTCACACTCAGAAGTACTCTCTACCACATCTTCTCTGTGTATTTATACACTGTATCTGTGCTTCTGCATAACCAATAGATAAAATTGTTTAATTGAGCCAGTATTGTATGGGTCAGGAAAAGACTGTTCATGTCATCCATTGTTTTCAACTTTACTAGTTTAATCTCAGGGTGAAGGAGATATAGCGTAATCCAATAATGATCTATTTGATATGTACTGTCAATTAACAACGGCAGGGTCAATTTTCCATGTGATTTAAGTCCATCAAAAGAAGGAAACAGAAGTATTTTATCAAAGTTAAATGCAGCAAAAGCCAACAGTAATGTTTTTTTTTTTGCAGAAGCCATCATTCCTGGCATGCCATTAAGCAGAAGCAAAATCTTTAAACAGCACAGTTGCCATGGGAAATTTACTGAACTATTTATAATGGCGGTTCAAATTAAATAAAGAAACAAATTAGGTTAAGAGAAAACCATCCGAAATACATGAACAGAAACCCAAACATGATGCGCTGCCAGGCTATGTATCCACAGCTCATCAGGCGCTGTGATCTTTGCAGTGAACGAATAAAGATGGACTTATGTATGTCAAGCACATACTGTGTTCTGTTTAATTAGAAGTACTCCATGAGGACCTGCACATGCTTTGTATCTGCTTCACTTTGTGCTTGGTATTTTGTTGCACACATATTATAAATATGCCAAGGTACTTGTAGTTAATTTGACTCGCTATTTATGAAGGCAGTGAGTGCTATTTATAAGAAGCAAGAGCAACAGAGACTGTGAAGTAACTGGTCTTTTATGGAAAGAATCAGATTAAGTTCAAAACTGTCCAACTGGTGCAAGATTATATTGAATATAAACATGACCTTTCCTCTGAGCTATAGGCAAGCCTGCTGTATTTATTGCCTGAAGAAGTGCTGTAAAACACTACAGACTGAAGGTTGATAAGTCAAGTGCTCCTGCTGATGCTGTGTCATATTATCGCACAGATGTGTTATTCCAATTATTTCATATTTCCTGTAATTTGTATTTCACATTGCGTGTACATGTTTAACATACATTTAATATTAATTTTTACACCATTTAGCCCAATGATTTAATTGCACATTAAAGTAAAAGGTTAAGAGAGTTCTGTTCTGTTCTAAAGCTATAAATAGTCCACAAAGCCTATGACTGAGTTTTTGAAACCATGGGTTGGTGATAAAACTAGATTAGTACGTTTCTCTACTACTCCATACAACAACAAATTATTTTCATGAGGAATTTTATGCTAAACAGAGAACATTCTTCTTCTTTATGAGGTTTGGATAAATTAGCTACAATACTACAGTACATGACAGCTCTATGTTATAGCAAAGATAAAAACAACCTTCAAAACATATTGAGTGCTTTGATGGTCTGTAAGGTCTCCACTACACTCTTAAACACTATGATTAAGGAATGTATTGAATGGACTCCAGTGTGCTAACGTTGTCAGAAGGTTATTACATTTGTGCTGATAAGTTACAGCCATCATAACCAGTTCTGGGTAACTCAGCACGACATTAATGGAGACAAAGCAATCTCTAAAACAGGGCAGATATTTGCTAAAGCTGTAAAGGTTTGTGTCATTTTCTACTTTCTTCTGCTGCACACTGTTCAAATTACTTGAAAGAAAATGCAGTTAACATCTTAAGTGGATGCTGCCAAGAAGATCTGTAGTCTTCCTTTGAACCATCTAAGCAAATCCATTTTAAACCAGGGACAATGGGTGGTAATCTGAAGGCAAACAAAAAGGTAAGAAACTTAAGCAATGTATCTTTGAGATTGAGAATGAATATCGGTAAAAAAATGATTGTGGAAGGCTATTTAAGGCTACCTCTTGCTATTACGTGCTAGAGTAGAAAGGTGGCAGATGGGATAACGATGAACTCCCAGGGACAGTAATAGAATACCAAGTCTTCGTGAGAAAGCCAGTAACAGGATAAGCCATGAAACTGTAGTCCACTGTTAAATGATCCTAAAGGCAAACAAACTGGAACAAGAGGTTTAAGCATCATATGAAAGAGAAAGGGAGTAATCTCTGAGAACCCCTGAGAAGAAGTTACAGTACTTAAAAGGATAGGGGGAATAGGATTCAGAATATGTGGCATGCTGGGCACAAAAACCGACAAGCTATATTCTATCTGATTTTAGGCTTTAAGGTGGTGCAGCCCATTCCATCAGAAAGAAGGATTAGATATCATATTCTCTGAGCGGGCTCTCAAAACAATCTCGGAGAAAGCAGCCCCTCAGCAATAACCATAAGAAACAGCTGTCGCCCTTACTGTGCATGGGCAGCTTCTGCTCCATTTCTTGTTGCTTAGTACTGATCAGATTCGACCATGGCTAGCACAAAATTATTCTGTATCCCCCTGAGCAATTTGAGGAAGCGGTCCCCAATGGTTAAAAAGTAATTGACTTTTGCAGAACCAGCACTTCATAAATCCAGCTTATTTTAATGTGCTCCTCACAAACCATAATAAGTTTGTAACAAATATTAATGCTGTATGAAACAAACTATACAGAAGGCGGAATGGTTTTGGTCATGTTGCTGGGTCTTCTGCTTTTCAAGAAAGGCAACTGGGAACAGAGCTGGATGTAAAAGGCATCAGAAACTGCTGATGGCTCTACTACTAAAGTGCAAAATTCTAAAATGGCTCAACCACTGACAGGAAAAAATAGATTCTATAATGTACTCTATTTACCTTTTAAGAGAAAGGATACCTCTTCCTCTCTGAGTGCTCCTTCACCCTCCATCTGGATGTATAAAGACAGCATACAGGAAAACACCAGGCTATGTTCGGGATACAGGCTCCTACAAACAAACAAGAAGTGAGTCAAAAGTGTTATGACTGACCTGGAGCTTAGTAGTGGTACAAATGCATGCTTTTTATTTATAAAGGTTAGAATGATCATTCCCATCAAGAGACTTCAAGTACCAAGAACACAACAATTTGAACTGGATGGACTCGCATCACAGTAGCACATCCACCGCACATCACATGTCTCAGAAATTTCATTCGAAATTATTCAAAACCCCATATTATAGTACTATACAGTATATACTTTAATGCCTCAATGGTTTAGAAAATCAAAATGGAAGAATGCAACACGATCTTAGAAAGCGAATTAATTTCTCAGACAAGCAGCAGTGTAAATCTCACCACATTGTGCCACAGGCTTGTATGGAAATACACAATCTTTGAAACCCTTGAAGAAAGCATGCTATTTACTTATTTAAAAGGGTTTTATTAAAATAAACAAAAATCTTCTCCTTGTTTTTTGTCATTTCGGACCTCAGACCAGCTCCTGAGGGAACACCGTCTCTGCCAGTTTTCAACTTCAGTGGTTCTCACCTACAGCACTGTTTCAGTGCTCGGGCCTTGATTCCACACCTAGCCTGGATAAAGTACATTATTTCCAACATCAGCATACAGAGCGTTATCTGTATCTACAGTATCTGACTCTGCATGAAGAATTTGCTCACTAAATTATGAATAAAAAGGTTCTAATTGGTGACCAGTTTATCAAGTACAGCCATAGAAGGGAAGGACAATAAACCACAGCAAGCGAGTGTTTATCCTTCTGCTGAGGTCCCGTTGGTCACTTTTCAGCTACAGTACCCTACATGAATGAGAGCAGCTCTGGAGCTCACTGATTAACACAGGGATCATACCACTTGCATATTCCGATCAGCTTTTTAAGAGCTGAAAGCAAATTTAAAAATAATTCTCAGTTGGAGCAATACTCAATTGGCACTGGGACTCCATGACAGAACAATGATTGAGCACCACTGATTTGGGCAACCAGGGGGAAAAATGCCTACAGTATATAAAGATCAGGTGTGCATACCGACAGTCAGATCCAGAAAAGTATGATATTTATTCCTGTAACCCATGTCTTAATATTTCTGTGGCCTTTCTGTTCAACAAACCGCCCACCCAAGTCTGCAATTAGGCAGATGTGACCCAAGTGTCAAACTGACCTCCATCAGATTTTACTTGCTAATATCCCAGCTAACGAAAAAGTCAAAC